AAAGTCTGGCCTTCTTTTTCCACTTTGAAAGTCTTTGGTAAGTCGAATTACAGCTATAAAATGTATTATATCCCAGGACTTAGGGATGACCCATCTGGGGCTAGAGTGGGAAAGGAGAAAGAATTAAGCCACCACTCAGAAGAAGTATCCATAGATATGCCTAATAGCCCTGTGACCCCATGGAGAAAAACATTGTGTAACTCTCCAAACATGAGGAAACATGAAACATGTTTTTCATGAAACCAGGTTTTTTAATTGTAAAATATAAGCCATTATCTTATTTGCTTTGCAAAAGATTGGGACTGGGGGGTTGGAGAGTTTGGTTTGGTGGTTATGTTTTGTTTTGATTTATTTTATTTTGAAATTAAGATAGAAACCAAGCAAAGATAATCTGTGAGCACCACCTTGTGGAAWAATCTACAACCACCATATTTGTTTGAACATTTATCAATCTTCATTCATTGAACACATATTCATATGCCGACACTGAGGATAGAGTTTTGTCTGTTTATTTAACAGACAAAAATCTCTGGTTTCATGGAACTTTTGTTTATGGAAAGACTGAAAATAAACAAGATCAATACATGAAACACATAACACATTCTATGTAGATAAGTGCTCTGGAGGAAAAACAAAACAAGGACTGATGGGGACCATTTAAAACCAAATGATCCAAGAAGGCCTCTGAAAAGGTGATATTCAGGCCTAACTGAATAAAATGGTGCAGTTACCTAGGGCCAGAGCCATCTAGACAACATGAAACATGCAAATTCCTGAATGCAAAGGTGCACGGTGACTTTAAGGAGAGGCACTGAGGGCGATGTTCAAAGGCAAAATGAAGGAGATGAAGACTGAATTAAGCAGGAGACCAGCCCACATGGGGCTTCTCTGATTATAGTAAGGATCTGTCTGGCTTCTCTGATTCAGGTGCAAGTTTCAAGAGACTTTGAACAGAAGAGTAAGATGWGCCAACTTATTTTAAAGCAGTATTGCTTTGATTGAAGGGGTCAAAAGCAAAATAAGAGATTCAAGCAAGAGGGACTTCTGCACATACTCTATGAATTTATTAAAGTGCTTAGGGAAACTTTATTGGAGATCAGGACTTRATTCCATCATAGCACAATCTACAACCTTAAACATAAGCTCCGATAGTCACTTTCAGGTACCCTGGGAAACTTTTATCCATGCCTTTTGCCATGTGTGCATTAAATAAGAAAAAATAAGTGGCCTCTGCTAGATTCTGTTAAGATTAGTAGGATACACTGTATGGCCACTGATCAGGAGAATRGAAGAAATTGTGCAATGGGTGCATTATTTAGGAGAAATACAACTTGGAAAATGGAAAGCATAAATGCCACARGTAATCAAGTATTGCATCTCAATTATGTTGAACAGTCATTTTCTTGCTTTTCTGTTGTTTATACTTCATTGTCCTTGAAATACTCRTGAGTTGCATAGCATTTGCAAAAGTTTCACATTTAATAGCTAAAGGACATTATTCAATATTAAACAATTTATGGTACTCAAATTTATATTTATGTAAGTCCAGACAGAAAATCCATGACAGATCTAGCTTTTAAAATACTGTTTTAAGAGACAATGAAATGGCAATATAAGTTACCACTGGTTTATGTGATGAAATTTAATATTTTTACACTGTCTAAAATATATATCTTATATAACACCATCACAATACTTGAACATGATATATAAAATTTCAGGTTCATTCCCAAGCWTTAATAGTTCAGATGAACAAATTTCTCTAAATTTAAATYGTAACATTTTTTTCTGAAATTAAGCTTTAAAAATAATATCTATGAAATAAACAATAGTAGTTCATGAATTAATAGCTTTTTCTTACTATTTATCCAATTGTAATCTGCCTATTAATCACACATGCACAATAGTAKTTCAACATCTTTGCTATTTTGTTTACTGTTGTATTAAAAATATTTTTAATGTGTTCCATAAAAAGCACATATTTCAAAATAGGAGTATAGAGCATATTTTAAACTACTGTTAGTTTGGTTTTTAAGTTTTAAATATTTAGATGTATAGTTTATGGATTCTGTTATGGTTTGGATGTGAGGTATCCCCCAAAAGCTCACTTGTGAGACAGTGCAAGAAGGTTCAGAGGAGAAATGATTAGTTTGTAAGAGTCTTAAGCCAATCAGTGGATTAATCCCCTAATAKTGATTAACTGAGTGTAACTGAAATGGTAGGGTATGGCTAGAGGAGGTGGGAATTAGGGCATGGCTTTGGTGTATATATTTATATCTGGAGAGTGGAGTCTCTCTTTCTGCTTCCTGATCACCATAATGGGAGCTGTTTCCCTCTGCCACACTTTCCCACCACGATGTTCAGCCTGACCTGGAGCCCCAAGAAATGGAGCCAGTCTTCTGTGGACTAAGACCTCTGAAACCATGAGCCCCCAAATAAACTTTTCCTCCTTTAAAATTGTTCTGGTCAGCTCTTTTAGTCACAGTAGTGGAAAAAGCTAACTAAAATAATTCCCATTTGCATTTTGGTCCTCTTAAATGTTAGGGAGATCCAGTTAGGTTATTCTTGCAATAATCTGGGCAATAAGTTATGTAGCTTGATCTGGGTTGTGGTCATGGAGATGTGAGAAGTCATCAAACTCTGTACATCTTGAAAGAAGCACTAAAAGGATTTTCTGACAAATCAGATTTAACTCAAAAGAGGAAAATTAAGTGACACAAGTTTTTGGCCTGAACAACTAGACAGAAGTCGTCATTATATGAGTTAAGGAAGAATGTGGGAGGAACATTTATGGGGATTTCAGAAGTTCAACTTTGTCTTGTTAAGCTCAAGATGTTAGTTTAACTCTTAGCAATCCGTGCTGCTTAATACTCAGGGCTGGTAGTCATTAGGGTAGGAATAGGAAAGTGATTGTATTCAAATCCTTGGGATGAGCAAGATCCACTCTTGGCCTTTTGCTTTCATCAATTAGGAGACACAATATATTGAAGGAAGGGAACACTCTATTGTGACAGTTCTCTACCTTAATAGCAGAAAGTGTCAAAGAACCTGGAACTCATCTCCCAAAACCATTCCCACAGGCTAGCAATTTCCTTCCTTTGGATGCCCTGGGGAAAGCTCACAATTACCATCAATCCTGGGTACTAACCCTGAGGTCTTAACTTCTAACTTCCTGTAAAACATCCTCCACAAACATAGGTGTAAGACACTGTCAGATATCACAAAACCTACACAAGAATTATTGCTCCCTTAATGGTTCTCTGCCCGATTGCCTTTTATGTCAAATGCTTTGGTGTGATTTATTTTCTTCTGTCTTCCTAGGTGAGTTGGATGACCCAATGGTGGAAAAGATATAAAGAAAAAKATCAAACATAGAAGTAAACAAGGAAACAAACTAAGTTCCTAAATCTCTTCACTATCTAATCCTTAAATTAAAAAACAAAGAAAATTTCCAGTGTAAGCATGTCTTTTTTAATTACTTGCAAGTTAACTATGTTCTTTCTGACAGAAACAGGCACAGCCACTACTCAAGTCATATCATGACCTAAACAGAAAAGAACTGATAAAGGAAGAGAGAAATGTCAGGAGTGAACTTCACCTCAGTCTTATTTAAAAAAAAAAAAAATCCTTGGATGAGAAACTAATGCACTATTTCCAAAATTAACCTCCTACAGAACATTGTCCCACAGGCTAGTACTTGATATGTTCTAAATACACAATGAACTTGGGATCACTGAATAAAACAAAGTTAATATGATTTCTTTTCTGTGGGAATGTCAGAGACTACACTAATGGGCTTTATGAATCTTTAAGAGGTAGATATAGAATACAGCACATTCAACATGTATTTGAAGCAAAACTTACTTTTTCAAGTGATTCATAATAGCAATKTCCAGAAATGGTGTTCCTCTGGACAGTTTGGGAAACACTGTTCTGATATACATATGGATGAGAATCCCAAAAGTGAATGTTTGCCAAAGTTGGCAGAGTAAGACCATAAAGTTTCCTATCACCCACTCCCTCATTTGACACACCAAAATTTACAAATCTGCATATCTACCTTCACAGAACCAATTCAGTTTGAATTCAATAAATTCACTTTTTTAAAAAATGAAGCTGCTGAATTATCCAATATTCACAGTTATTAAACATTCACATTGCAAATGAATTCCCAATCTCCCACCTGCTCCAGCAATGTTATCACTGAATAACTGGAATTAATTATTCTCGAGATGATAATAATGATGCCAAAGAGTTTATCCTAATTAAATGTTCCACCATGAAGAAAGAACTGAAATTTAGATCAGTAATGATTTAATTTTATTCTTTAATCTTTTAGGGACATTCAGTTCTTGTAAGCACAATAATTTGATGAAGGGTTGCATCATTTCTATGATTGAGCTATATCTTTTTATCAACGTTCTTTTTCCATTTTACCAAACATTCTTGTCCACATAATACAGGTTTTATGGAAAAACCCTTACACATGATAAATTTTAAACATATTTTAGATAATCTTTGACACTCTTTCCATGCATTTCCACTGAATTAAACTAATGTGAGAATGAAACTGACATGAGAATTCCACCAAGAGAATCAGAAACTTCAAGAAAGACCTATCGTGATAGTTTATCAGCTATTAACACACAGTTACATGAGGTATAGAAATATTTAGAAGAATATACTTATTAATTATGAATCTCATTCATATTTTCCATGAAGACATTAATCCTTTAAATAGTAATTTAGTGATTAATAAGTAATGTCATTATAATGCTAAACAAAAAATGTCAGCTACAGAGTTAGTAGACATATGTTCTCAATTGTTTAAAAGAAGAAGCCTTAGAATAGAAATACTAATTGAATCTACACTATTATGTAATTTTTCTGTATTATTGTTTTAATCATGAAAAAAATGGAAGTTTTTTTTTTTTTTAAGTTCACTTCTACATGTCAATACTTATTCCACTAAATCCCACTACAGTGTCCAATACCCAAATTTATGGTGAAATTCTAGGAGTTTCCTCTGGGTACAAAAGGAACCCAGTAAAAATGCTGTCATCCTCAGCACTGGAATAAACCCCATTCCAATCTTTTGACAATTCCAGCCACACTTGATCTCCTGCACTTAATTTCAGGATGATGAGGAGAGAGGCCTGGTCTATCTCCTGACCGTAGAGAGTGTCTCTGGACTTGAACTGCTTCTTATTCTGGGCCACCAGGCTGATCCGAGCGGATCGACCCTTCACAGTGACATGGTAAGAAAAGACGTATGTCCCAGGGATGCTGCAGTTAAATTTCCCAGTGGCAGGGTTGTAATCCCCTTGGTCATTATATAAAATCTTGTCAAATTTGATGGGGATGTTGGGAGGAGGGAACGGCTTTGACAAAGCAGCGCTGAAGGCAGACTGCGGGAGTTTGGCGACCTCGCCCTTGGAGCCCTTGAAGCCCCGTGAGCCCTTCTTCCCAATAGGTCCTCGGACCCCTTTGTTCCCAAGCTCACCCTTTGGCCCAGCAGGTCCCAAAAGACCAGGAGGACCTAACTCCCCTTTTTCTCCTTTAAGTCCTGGATCACCTTTAGCTCCAGGCAGACCATCGGGGCCCCTTTTGCCTTCTGTCCCAATGTCTCCTTTGCTACCTTTTTCTCCTTTTACCCCYTCCTCCCCTTTTTGCCCTTTTCCTCCCCTCTCCCCAGAATCTCCGCAGTAGCCTTTCTGTCCCATCTCCCCCTTCTCTCCTTTGGCTCCAGGCTCTCCGTTCAATCCTGGAGAGCCCACGGCCCCCGGGTCTCCTTTATCTCCTTTGGTGCCATTTTCACATGGGTCTCCCTGTGAGCCTTTTTGTCCTTTAACTCCTGCCAAGCCAATGTTTCCTTTATCCCCCTTAGGACCAAGTCCACCTGAAATGAAAAATTAAAATAACGTTTAAGGATCACAAAAGCCAAACAAGCTGCCATTACCACAGACCTGGAAAAAATAGGAATAAAATTTCCTTCCTTGGACATGGAAACCCCTTCTTGCTTGACAGAGGCTGTGCCTAAGCAGCCATAAATGCAATGAGCAATTTATAACATATCATAATCCCAGAAAGAGAAAAGTTTGTGCTTCCAAGAAACAATAGCTTACATTCAGAATTCACATATCTACTTCTTTTTTCCACCTTTAAGATAATAAAGAATATAAAAATATTTTTTCTTACAATATAAAATTAATTACCCTTTGTATTTTGACCCATCTCAAGTATTCTCCTAAATCTCCATATTGTCTATCCAAACCCAAAATCTTACAAGGCATAGAAACTAAAACCAAAAAAAAATTTGACAGCTAGAGAGAGGAACGGAGCTCAGATATTTTACCTCATCTCTAAATTCCTAGACCTATTTCAATCAGCACACTGAATTATTCGAAAAATAGTAGTAATTTATATTTCCATCTTACTTCTCTGAAAACTTTAAATACAAACAGGAAAAGAATGAGGGCTTCACAGCATTCATGATTGTGCACAATTATATATTTTGTATTGTACCTGGTTCTCCAGGTTTTCCTGGATATCCTGGAACTCCGCTTGTCCCTTGGTCCCCACGCTCTCCTTTTACTCCTAAAATGATACCAAGATTAACTTTTTTCCAACTACGTCATTTATGATATATCTAAAACATCCCTTTCACAACCACGTCACATTCCAGTGTTTCCTTTAACCAAAATGGCTTAAAGGTAAAGTAATGTGAAAAGGGAATTTATTGAAGGTGATTGTGAATGCCAATCCTTCAAATAGACTTTCATTTTGCTTATGGCATTTCCAGGACTCCTCAAACTCCTCATCACATCCTGCCTTATCTTGCATATGTATGTGGTTATGCTTATTTTATTATAAATTTTAAATGACAGTTCAGTTGTCTTCTTTATATGCCCACCATGCCTCAGTAAAGCACAGAACATGGTATTCTGCAATTGGCTAAAACTAGTCATAACAAAAATCCATCCAGGAATGAAAAATTATCCCTGACTTAGAGCATGAAAGAAAAGTCAATTTTCATTACATGTTGGAATAATTTTCAAATGTTCTTTGGACAAATTATAAGACTATGAGAAATCATATTTGAAGAACGTTGAAAGATTTGGGTTTSCAGATATTTGCCATGTTACAATAAAATGGATTTTGTATTGTCCTATCTTGTTAAGTCTATCACAGACTCACTTTGATTGTAAAAAAACAATAGCAATAATAATAGTATTAAAAATAGTTAACTTGTATTAACAATTTGCGCCAAATACTGTTCCAAGCTCTTAACATTTTGTTAACTTACCCTGGATATTTTTTAAATTCATTTAATTTTATTTGATATTAATACTACCTCTTATATAACAAGAAGGCTCTATAACAGCATATTTCATGAATTGGAACACTTATAATTTACAAAGCCTATAACACATCCCCTTCAAAAATGGTACAGCAAATATTTTTGTTTTCAYTTTTACCAGAAGAACATGAGATATGAAAAAAAATAAAAATTTTCACAGAGTCAAACATGACTGTATATTACCTTCTTTGGCATCTATTTGCCAACTTTATTATTTATATTATGACTCACAATTTTGCTTAATTTTTGTCAGGAAAAAAATTAAACCTAAATCAAATTAAAAGTAATGAAAATAAGTTCCCTTAATTTCACAGTACCCACTAAAGAAATCCCATGAGTTCTAAGTAGCCACCTCCTCTATTACCACTCCACAGAAAATACAAAATTGTAAATTAACTCATAGGCCATCAAGAAAATATCCAGTTGCATTTTGAGAGAACCCAACCCAAATGGAAGTGAAGGCCCAAGCCTATTCCAGTCCTTGCTAATAATAGAACATTGACCTTCACTCACAGAGTTATTTAAGTTTTCAAGTTTATTTAAGGGATTTCATTGCTTGTAGTGAATTAATCAAGTAGTCATTAGCCAGAATATAACCATTCTACTCATTTTATTTTATTTTTTTAACTTTCAATCTTAGCCAAGAGTCCAAGGTAAGTCTGGAAGTAAAAGGAAAGTAGAGTTTCCACTTTATAGAGAGTTGGCTGAATGAATCTCTACTTTTGATCCTTCATCAAAGCATATTCTTAAGAACCTTACAATACTTCCCTATATTTTCTTCTACTTCCAGAAGTCTAGCTTCCAGAATATATGAATCACTGGGGAGGTTCATCACTCATCTTTATTTCACAGGGTTTCTGCTAACATAATTCAGCCACAAAAGGATTAAATGTTTCCGAGAATGAAAATCGCATAACTGACAAGTGTGAAGTAGCTCTTTCTTACCTTAGCATCTTTTTTGAGTAATTACTTCACTGAATGTTCTAACAGAAATGAGTTAGGCAGTTCCTGAGCCATGTGGAGGGTGATGTATAGATGATATTAGGTCTTTTGACATGTGACACTAAAGCTCAAACATTGAACTTGATGAATAGATGGTATTTCTACAGGCTGCTCCTATTCACTGAGGAATTTCTCAATGTCCCAGTGAATCCGTAATCTTCCCTCAGTACCTTGGAGCACTTACAGACCCAGGGATTTCCTGGGGCAGGAAAGCCTTCTTTATTGACACACCTATGGAATTATAGGATTTCTGAGCTGGAAARGATCTATGAAAGCACTCATAACTACAAATCTTCTTTGATAGTAAATAGCGGTATAAATATCAAGTTCATTCCCCTCAATTTCCAGGCAAAGTGAAGCCACTGGTCCAAAGTCACCATTATATGCTTAATACTTCTGTTTTAACTCATGGCTCTGCACCCCATCAATACTGCCTCTGCTTTTAGTGAGTCACTGGAAATGGCAAGTTCTCCTTAGCAGTCAGGCTATCCGCCTAAATTGAATATTGTAGAGCATTGCAGGCTCTATTTAGTTCTATTCACTATGAAATTAATTTGCATCAAAAGTAGGAGCCCACCTGGAGTATGTAGGAAAGTACCCTTCCCCAGAGACTATACTTTGTGGTTCCCAGTCACTGGGTCAACCAGATGTCCAATCARAAATAGGAAAGTTGTGTAACTCTGTGTGTGTTTGTGTGTGTGTATGTGTATGTGTGTGTGTGTGTGTTGTTCCCAGACCCGTTTAGAATTTCTAAATTTAGAAATTTCTAAATTTCTACTTACAAAGATAATAATTCTATATCAAATGAATTCACAATATACTTTACCAAGTACTTAAATATTTAAAAACTGACATAACTTCAAGAATCAAGAAAATTACTTAGCAAATTATTCTCCTTAAAAATGATGCAAAATGTCCCTTGAGGTTTTGGCATGAAATGAAATTAATTACCTACCTTTCTCTCCTTTCTGGCCTTTTGAGCCTTGGGGTCCAATGACTCCTTGTGGTCCTGGGATCCCCATATTACCAGTCTCTCCTTTAAGACCTGGAAACAGGTGTTTAAAACTATCAATATAGAAAAAAAATCTCTTTTGAAATTCATTAGTTAGGGGACGAGGGGGACAGTCATTTTTTTAAAACTAATAACTGYCAATGTTCTAATCATAAAGTCAGGTGAGAATAAACTATTACAGAGTTCTAAGGGCAATATTTTTGTCTGATTTGCAATTTTGTACACCTGAATAGATAAATTGAGCCCATTAGTACTTGTCACTGTATTCATGGCAGTGATCAAATGATTCAGGGAAGCAGCACTACATCAAACAGCAAGAACAAAATAATTACCTGACACTAAAACTCATATGGACCACACTTTCAAATTGGAAGCAAAAACATAATACCTAGCACTTTTAGGTTTCCCATTCATCCACGTATTCATTCATTCAGGAGCTATTTCTGAGTTGTCTTATACACCAAGCACCTTACACACACACAGACACACACACACACACACACACACACACACACACACACACACACCGAGCACCCTGCTAGTGTTAGAAACACAGCCATCAACATGCCAGCAATCCCAATCCCCAAAAGCTGAAACTCCATGAAAGATAAGCATTGAATAGATAGCTATAAAAAGAAATCAAAATTGCCACACTGTAGTTGATGATATAAAGAAAAATAGGAAGGTCCTATTGTATGACAGGGTTATAAAAGAACCTAACATATTTGTGGGATCAGAGGAGAGATCCCTGAGAAAAGACTCAATGAATGCACTAGGATTTTCTGAAGCAAAAATTAGCAGGTAGTTATTTTAAGAAAGTAAGAATTAAAAAGACCATAGTATTTTTAAGCAACTGAAAAAAGGGGGGGGCCTATGGGTGGAAATAGTGGTCAAGGATAAGAGGAGGCTGAGAAGCAGGCAAGGGTCAGATSACACAAGGATCCGACTTCATTGAGTGTCCTTGTTCACCAGGGCAATTCAGTTCCCTTCCACTTACCTGGACCACAGAGGGATCCTAAGCCTAGGAAAATTATTCTTCCTGAAACCCCAGTCCTATTCCAGACATATGAATCACTTTCCAATTGGAATAATTTAAGGCCAGTTTCTTTGAAAGTTAACCATATAAATAAGTACATTCAATGAAATTAAAATACTTCACCTTAATATAATTAAGGCTGATGGAATAGGATGAAATTATATTCAATATAATTCCTCTTTGAAAGAATACAGTATTTGTTTGGAAGGAAGAAAACCTTTAATAAATTGTTTGCAATGGAAATTAAGGCTAAAGGCAAGGTCAAATAACCAAGATGGATAAGCTCTTCTGTCTAGAAAAGAGAAGATTACATGGAGGAGAAAGACATGGAGAAAGAAGAAGCAGAGAAGGTGGGAGCAAGCAAAATGGTCAATTTCATTTCCCTGTGCAATACCCACCCAAAGGCTCAATGTGGTCACACTATTGAGGGATGTGATAAAGTGCTGTCCCAGGTGACACCGGGAACACAAAAACAACTATACATGAAGCTACAGGGAAGAGGAAGGCTACCCCTTTCATCCCGGTAAAATGTATGTCTGGTTTGACTTTCGTAATTACCATGAAACTAAACATGAAGGGAAAAGCTGAGGTTTCAAGGTCACAAATTGATTTTGACTCCAGGTTCTGCACTCACAGGTGCTACAACCTCTAGATTTACCAAACATTCCCTAGACTGTGACCAAATCATCAGGTGAAATGCAATGATATTTTTAACATTTCTATAAAGATTTGAAATAAAATAAAATGCCAACCATTCTTGRCATGTAGTACCTACAATCATAACTGAACTAAAGAGAGAAGCAGAAGATAAAACTTTAAAATAGAATTTTTACCTTTGCTGATTATTAGATATATCTGAATATTTCAAGATGTTTTCATTCAGAAAGTTTATAAAGTTAGACTAGTGACTTTTAAAAGTAGATAATGCAAAATGTGATGTTTGCAATGTGCATGTTTATGTGTTCATGTGACCAAGGACTGAAAATGAAGGAGAATTTAAATGGTTGGATTTTAGTAGCCTTGTTTTTCTTTTCCAAGTTTGTTCAATGTTGCTCTTAGATTTCTAATGAGAGAGAGGAGAGCAGAGTGGAGAGGAGAGGCGTGAAGGGGAGGGGAARAGAGGAAGAAGTAATATCTTTAAAAATACTAATATCTGGAACATATGTCTCTTTCTCAATCTCAAAAGCAGCATCCTGTCATATAAGGCCCCTAGTATTCCACAAGACAGGTCCATACTCCTACCATAGATAACTGGAAAGATAAAAATGATTATCTGTGTATTTATTTTATTCCAGGCACCACAATGAGTTCTTGTGTGTGTCTCTTTCTTCTTGATGATTCTGTGAAATCAGTATCATTATTATCACATTTTACCATTTTGGAAACTGAGACTGACAGAAGTAATGAAGCTTCTCTAGGGTAAGACCATGATAGAGTCAATATTTTCAGCCTTTAAGCACTGTCCAGTCAGACTAAAACAGGCTAATAACTTGACATCTTCAAAATATTTGTCACATAGGATTAGAGGAGGAGTTGAACTCTAAGAACATTCCAGTCAAATCCATGACTGGGTAAAACAAAAGCCCCGGTATTATAGACTTCAAAGCCTTAGATGACAGCTTAGCAACCAGCTGTGTCTACTTGACCCTGCCCTTGGGGTTTCCACTCACTCACGAACAGCTTACCAGCCAAACAGGATGCTAGAAAAGTTCTGGTAAATATGACTTTCTTAGACTCATCACATTTTGCAAGTTTTAGCAACCCTGAAATCTTGATGCCCCTGGTCACTGCCTATCTCCTTCACCCCTTAATCCAGCCCTGAATAAATGCTGACTATATATATTAAAAGATCCCGCAATGGGATGAAATGAATGAAAAGCCCGTGAAGATGTATAATTACTGACTTTATAACTTTCTATTCTTCAGGCAAGACTCAGCAAACATCGATATGAATTCTTTTTCAAGGAAGAGCGAATTTGAAATTGACATTTTGATCTTAATTTTACCTTGAATTCTCTCTGCTACATGACATGTAAAAGTCAAAATGTATTACAATAAAACTGAAAGTATATTCATTACATATATATTAAAGACATCTACAATTTTGAAATAAATAACCACAGTGTTCAATGGAGAAAATTGCTGGGCAAGGACACAGTGTTGTTTCAGAATTTCAATGAGGAGCAAACCGAATCCCGCACTTCATTCTCTACCTCACAGGCATTCCACCTCTAATCCTAACTACAAATAGCACTCAAAAAATCCATCAGTCAGCACACATTCTTACCAGGCAATAGAATTTTCATCTACCTTTTTAAATCAGCCATTAATGAAAAGACTGTACAGATAATAAATGCACTCAGTTTGGAGATCTGGAGCACCAGGACTGAGGTCAGAAATCCCTGCCTTGACTCTAGCCAGAAAGTCCAAGAGAACTTTCTGCAGTGATAGAAATGTTCTGTAATACCTGTGCTGTTCAAATGAGTAGTCAGTGGCCACATATGGTAATCAGACACTTGAAATGATTGTGGAACTGAATTGCTTATCATATTTAATTTTAATTTCAGTATTTATTAATAACCACACATATGGCTAGGGGTTACCATGTTGGGCTGCACAGCACCCATTTGCATTTGCATTTGTGACAATCTTACCCCTAGGCCTATCACCATCTGCATGACAGTATAAAAATCTTTGGAATAATGCCGTCTGTCCCCTGACCCACCTCTTTATTGATGTACAAGTGAGAAACATGGCTTCCCATATTTTTCAAATACCTGGTTTTCCAGTCTTTCCAGGTTCTCCTTTCTGCCCCACAATAGGTGAGCAACAACGACAACAATTCAACAAGAAATCAGCTGTGTCAAGAGTGAAGTTTTCAAAGGAAAAGAGAGTGGCGGTGGCGAAGGCAGACTCCAGGGCTGAGGGGTCAGTGGTTGGTGCCGCCATTGCAGGCATTTSCATCAGTGGGTTTTCTTCTTCCTCCTGAGGTGAACCACTGGATGGCTTTAGACCCTTGGGTATCTCTTCTCCTTCAGATTTTTTCGTAAATTTGATGTATGGTGTGGTCTTTGCTCTTGTGTCCACACCAGCAATAGCCAAAATAATTAAAATGAACCAAATCCAAGAAAACAGCCACATATTTGAGGCTGAAAGAAAGATAGGATAAAAAAATAGACACAAATTATATGAGTTTCAATTGAAAAGACTAAGTGAAATAAATATATACTTACATGGGAGAAATATATGCATATGTGAACCATAAGAATGAACAGAATGCATAATATAAAATGATATATTGTTGATATATTTTATATGTAAATRTGTGCTTGAATCAAAACCAAATATTTTATTTACTTGAAGTATTTATTATAAGGAACACTTTGTTTCAGTTCTCCTTTCTGGTTGCTTTCTCAGTGTTACATGTTCTAAAGTAGTATTCTCAATCATTCAAATTATCTTGCCAAATAGCAAACATGATCTATAATAAATGCAACACGACTTAATAGCTCATATACCCTGTGGAAAAAAAATATGTGTAATTTCCTGACTGACCTCACTCAGATTTATAGGAATCAAATATATTTGTATTAAAGAGAGATGAAAAATATTGAACAGAATGTTTTATTCCAGCAAACTCAATTATTTCAAGAAAAAAAATACTGATGAAATAGTCTTTAAATCTACCAGGGATAATGGTCCTGTTGTGAGAGTACTCTTTGTGAATCTATTATAATTAACGGAGAGGGAGACAATAAAAAATCATAAATTCGAATATATCCTACGTCCTTAGATTCTTTACATGCCATTTAACTCTTTAATTCTTTGCTCTATAATTTGGGGAGTTTTTCTGAAAACTCACATTTATCCTTGTATTCTTCTAATGGGATAAAGTGTGGTTATTCATATTAAGGTTTTATAAATGTCCAAAGTAATATGCAATGAAGTAAAATTGTGATAGTTCACAGTATACCATTCCCCATAAACTCCCAGAAGTCTGGTAGCTTCTAACAGACAGCCAAGGTTAGAAATGCATGTTATATGTTAGGAGAAAAAATAATTAAGATAATTAGTAAGAGAATAAAAAGAAAGAAAGAAAATAAGGATAGTAAAAACACCTACTATGCATAGAGCCACTACTATGAGAAGGTGCCTTACATCAATTCAGCCAGTTCTCAAAACAGCTATGCCAGGTAGGTGACATCCTTCTTCACCTTCACAGAGGAGGAAGCAGCCAACAAGGGATTACATACCTTGTCCAGGTCACACAGCCAGTAAATTATGGATTTAGGACTTAAATCCAGGATTCTTTAATTTCAAACCCTAAACCCTTTCCACAAATCATGTGTCATTTATAAGGATGGGATTAAAGAACAATAAATCCAAGGGTAGCTCAATGGAACAGAGCTATGGAGGAGACAGATATAAATCAGAGCAGATGAGAAGAGACAAGATAAGACACTTCCTCTCCCAAATCATATAAAGATCCAAAATGTTAACCTTCCTTCTTCCATATTCATCCACTTAACTATCAACCATGTCACCAGCAGTGCAGGATTGCACATAATGTTGACACCAAACATAACCCATGTTTCTGTTCTTAGGAGCCTATAGTCTAAGAAGGAGCAATGAGAAGCAACAAAAACAAAGAGGGGGAAGTGTGAAAGGCAGTGCATCATGCTGCATTTCTCCAAATACAGATCCCACTCTTACAAACACTATACCCCATGCAAGTGAACACACCAAACAAGGTTAACATGCACCAGACAGTCAAACCAGCCTCACCAAAAACTAGGATATTGTTTAAATGCAAAATAATTGAACTTTCAATAGCTCATACAATGGAATTCAATAAAACAATCATTTGTTCAACAAACATTGATTTGAACATCTAAGAAGCCTTGTGCTGGGTCCTACAATAGGAAGCCAAGTAAAACCCACTTCAACCCTTTTAAGAATCTTTTCCACAGTAAACATCCAAATATAATGAGGCCCACATCTTTAGACTATAGAGAAATAGATCTGGCCAAAGGCCCAAAGTGAAATATTAGTGGCTTTTCATTCTCTCACCACTTTACTATAAGAAGCACTGGAGTTTGCAGAATGCTGAGTGTTAAAGCTCTAGGATATTTTCTATGGTATCTGTAAAAACTGAAGTCACAGGGGAAATCACCTTCCTTTTTCCTTAATAGAACATGTCTGTGTTATTCTTCCATTCGTACAAAATATTTTTGATCCTGGAAGCAAGTTTGTGACAGGATTTTGGTAAACTAGTCCTAAGGGTGCAGGCAAGAGAGGGGTTGAAAGAAAGGAAAGGACTCAACACTGAGAACCTGGCAGGCATTGTTCTAGGCACTTCATAATTGTTATGTCATTTATACCACACAAGAACCAGGCAAGATAAGATTTATTATGCACTACAATTGGTTATAAAACCGAGGCACAGAGATGTTAAGTGGCCCACCCAAGGTGACGGTGTTAGGAAGCAGGGGAGCTGCCATCAAAACATAGGTCCACTTGACTCTGAAGTGTACTTCCTACTGTGTCATGCTGTGTGGGGACTAATGAGTGATCAGAGATGCTGCAAAAGTAAATGGAAGTTGGACCCTCCATGAAGCTCAACCCTGAGCCCTTTGTTGAAAAGTGATCTCCTGCAGACAGGAACTGGGAAATTAATGAGAGAGACAAAGAAGAGAAAAGGGRAAATTCTGGCTCTGACAGTAGAACACATTGGTGCTGGGCAAACAAAGGGAACACAGCACATCTGACAAGAAGCCAAAAGATTACAAAAARGAATGGACAGAGCCAACAAGTACAAGGAAGGTGCTCAGTGTCCCTATCTAAGGGCATGAATTGTCCTCATATAAGTTTCTCTTGCATTGTGGGTTCCTGCTTCCCAATTTAAGTATACATGTTAAAGGATAATGTTGTTGGCACTTTAAAACTGTGATAGAACTCCTCAAACACAAAGCCCTTTGAAGATGACAGCCAAGTATTGGTAGTAAACTGATGGATGATGAGGACATATCATTTCTTTTTATAATAATAGCATTATGTGAAAGAGTGCCAGTCCCAAGACTAGAAATTAGGACATGTGTGTTTCCACTCGCTTTCTTGYCCTCTTGTCATTGCTATCAGAAGGATGTGAATGAGCTAGCTCACTAGTCAGTCACCAGAGGAAGATGAGAGACACATGGAGTAGAGTTGCCCCAGCCAAACACACCCTAGAGCAGAGTACACAAAAGACTAAGTAAGGCCTCCTGACACAAACTGAGATACAATTAACCTCAGACATTTGTTCCAGTTATCCACTGCTGTTTAACAAGGTAGCCCAAACTCAGTGTCTTAAAACAACAACCATTTTATTGTGGCTAACAGTTCTGTGGTTCAGATACTCAGGTCTGGATTGGCCAGGTGACTCCTCTGCTCTGTGAGACACTGACAAAGTCATTTAGTAGTGTTCAGCTAATGGGTGGGTTAGTTGGGAGGGACTAACCTACAAATCTGGTGTCTCAATAGAAATGGAAGGCTKAGCTTGACTTGTACTTGCGATCACATGGTTTACAGGTTTGCCAATCTCAACATAGTTTTTCCATAATGGCTCAGGGGTCCCAAAGAGAATGTTTCAAAAACATGGAAGCCCAGGGGCTCAAAATGTTATTCTGAGAACTGCATTTCCCAGAAATTATTGCCATTAGGACTCCAGTTTAGTTTCTGCCAATGGGAAAAAAAAAAGTACATGGAATATATGAAACAGAATGTAAAAAACAATTGTCTCCTGCAAGCAGCAGCTAGTAAATGCATGGGCTTTAACAGATGTGAAATTTTATGGTGGCCCACGGCACAACAACATGAAATCCCACCTTCGTTCTGCAGGTGGCTGTGACTATGAGCAGCAGTATCCTGTGGTTCTTGCCCCAAGCAACAGTAACAATACAGTGACTCTCTGAAAACTAGAGATAAAATTGACAGCTAGTGGCGGACCTCCCTGCCCTTTCCCTTCCCTGCTTCAATGATTGAATAAGCACCTAATTGCCTGTATTAAATCCCTTTCTGCCTAACATACCTACATTGATTCCAGACCAAATCCTATTATCATTTATTCTTCTCCATTTAATTTAACTCTATTCTATTATTATAAACTCCCAGCCTGCCAGCCTTTCTAATGTCCAATTCTTTATTCTTTTTCCTTAACCCATTAATTCCCCATCCATCCATACCTTTATCTATTACAAAAACAAAAATTTTTGTCCAAATATACCCCAAAATAAGTTTCAGTCATTAAATAATCCATACCAGTATTATATTTCAGTTGTATTGTAAATGATTCCATATAAATAATTTTTAAATAATTTCAGATACATGGTTATGTGTACATATGTTGCATAGGCCAAAAAAGAGGTGATTTTTTTTTACCTAAAGTATATTCTTCCTCTCTGACCCTGTAGAGCTATAGAAAATTATAAGATGAAATTTAAAAGTCCCTAGCATCCTTTTKCTATTTGAATTGCATGTGAGACTTTAGATCTCTCACAATATTTCATTTAGAGCAGTATTTTATTCTGTTTCTTTCCATGCTCATGTTTTTCTTTCTTTCTCTCTTTCTTCCTCTATTTCTTTTTCTTTTGTGTTAGTCAGCTTTTTATTGCTGTGACCAAAGTATCCAACAAGATCAACTTGGAGGAGGAAATTTATTTTGGCTCAGAGTATCAAAGATTCAGTTCATGGTCAGCTGGTTCCACTGCTTTTACATTCAGCCTCACACAAAAGTCTCAGAACATGGGCAAATGTAGAGAAGTTCTTTACCAAAATGTGAAATGAATGGCCTCTAGTCTATGCCCAATAGAATCCTCCTCCCCCTCTGAAACCTCCTAAGCAAAAGCTTTACTGTCTGCATTTTGGTTGGCATTCTTGTCTTCTGCACACCCAGTAGATTTATCAATTAAGCTCTGCTATTCTAAAGCTTCTGCAGCCCACATCTCCAAATTTTCCAGACTCTTCCTATAAACTTTTCCAAAGTGTTCTGAACCACGTGATGGTCAGGTTAGTCATAGTAATGGCCTTACTTCTTAGTACTAATTTCTGTGTTAGTCAGCTTTGTGTTACTAAGACCAAAATAACTGACAAAAAACAATTTAGAG